ATATATATATATATATATATATATATATACTTTTTAATGTTTTTTATTCTCTTCACATAAAAAGCAAGAAAACTGGTAGACTTACCTGAAATGTCGTGGTTAGGATGGTTAGAACTGTACAATTTGTCCATAATTTGTAGAAACAGAACTTCGCAAACCTCTCTATTTCTACATTCAGTGACAAACAAACAAAGCTCACTTATTCTGTCTCTGAAAGAAAAGTGAACAAGTAAAGACAGCAATATCAAATATCAACACTGAAAAGAAAACGTTATTCCGGTGAGATGTCTGTTGACTCATAAAGGGAGAGCCAGGGGCTCAGTGTCTTCACACACTCTGTATGTGTGTGTGTGTGTGTGTGTGTGTGCTCCTTTCACTCCACATATACGTGCCTTTGCCATCGGCATTACTCTAATATATGTCTTGTCTTTAAGAGGGCACTTCCCTTTTTTCTCTCTTTTTGACTGGAACTGAAATCAATGGTCACGCAATTACAGAATGTGGATTTGTCAACTGACGTCTAGCTGCTAAAGTACGTGAGGGGAGCACTATACAAATACCCAATAAGAGGTTCAATAAGAGCAGTAACACTGCTGATTGCCGACTACGGTCCCATCAAAACCAGACAGCCAGTTCCAGGTGTTTTATTCTGTTGAGAGGCAATATTGCATATTGGCAAAGAACATCAATGTTCACTCAAAGTCTCACGGCAGCCTATTGACTCTCCACCAGGGAGCAGAGTCAACCATTTGGAAGTTATAGCTCCTTTCAAACTGCTTTAAGATAGGAACAAACGTTCGGAGCTGGAAAGTGCTGTCTCGAGAGGCTCCGTCACCGATAATTAGTGATCAATCACGAATTAGTTTAAAAGCTTGAAAAGAACACTGAGAGCATTATTAGATTGCAGAGATTCACTGCTCTCCAATAATGACATGGATTTTTAGAGGAATGAAATCCTCCAATCATTTGTCAGTCTTCTCTATTGCCAATCACACCCATTAATCAGGGAAAGGTCCAACCGGCCCATGTCTGAAAGATTGCAGGTGCCAAACAGAAAGGAAGGGGGAAAAAGGCTGCTTACAGCTTGTGTAATTAGAGGACATTAACACAGGAGGCGTCAACTGCTTCAGGCTCATCACTGTGTGATAAGTATACTTTAAGTATTTAAAATTACTATGACTAAGTCTTAAAACGCCACTAGGCCTTGAAAGATTCATCAGAGAGTCATTTATGTTAATTCTGCCAATAAGATCTAAATTGAAAGGTATTTGCCAATATTGTCTTCATTTATCACAAATAAATGCAAGCACACTACCAAATGTACTTGTAGTACATAATGGTTTAAAACTGCGCCTACTTAACACAACTAATCTAAAATATTTCCATGTTTGCTGTTTGCTATTGAAACCCCTCTCTTCTTTAAGGACCTCTAACAGTAGCTGACCTGAACTGACCAGCTCTCTGTAATTGAACAAATGCATCAATGCTGCATTTGTTCAATCTAATTTCAGGATGTTACTAGAGGGCATGTTTATCGAAGAGAACAAATATGTCTAATAGATCAGATTAGCCCACAAATCACAGGTCGAAGGAAGAAGCTATATGACAAGATACCTGAGGTTAAACCAGTACATTCATTTAAATATTTAATATTGTTGTCCTTAAGAAACCGGACTTTCTTGTGTTTTTCCCTGTGGCTAAAGGGACTGATTCAGTCTAAAGCTCAAACTTCAAAATAAAAATCAAACAGTTGTAGTTCTCAGTTTCAGTTATTGTGACTAAAACTTAACATTAACACAAGAAAAAGCCTTTTATAATTTGATAATTTACTGTTAATATACTCACATTTTTTGTAATCACTGCTGACTATAAGGCGCCATCAGTCAGTCAGCCAGCCGCCATGAAGTAGAAAACAGCTGTCACTCGTTAGAATCATTTCCGCGAATTGGTCCTTTCAAACATTTTGCTCCAAAGAACCTATTCATAAAAACAAGTTGGCTCAAGTGTATGGGATGATATTAGACTCAAAATGATTAATAGATGCACGCACAATTATCCATGCACTGCATACATTTAATAGCCTAGATGTATCTTACTAACCACAAACAAATGCCTTTCAATTTGAGTCTGTGGAATTCTGGATTAAATGATTGTGCAGCGATTTGTACAAATACAGACATGTTTGCAAATAAAAATGTTCTGTTCTGCATTAATATATCATAAATTGCTCATGCAAAAAGGAATCTGTGCATATGTGGATCAGGTCACACGTGTGCATTAATTGACGTCTAGTTCGAGTCGAACTTGTTCAGTTCATTTGGATTTTGAGACTTCATTTTCGCAGTTTACAGCATTTCAGGTCCCCCACACACACAGCTACCAACGAACAAGGCCCAGTGCAGTTCATTAACGTGTACACGATTTGAAAAATTCGCAAATGTGCGTCACTACACTGAAACAAATGCTTTTCAACCGGTGTCTGCAGAGTTAAGAATTACATTAATGTGGAATTCTGGATTAAATGATTGTGCAGCGATTTGTACAAATACAGACATGTTTGCAAATAAAAATGTTCTGTTCTGCATTAATATATCATAAATTGCTCATGCAAAAAGGAATCTGTGCATATGTGGATCAGGTCACACGTGTGCATTAATTGACGTCTAGTTCGAGTCGAACTTGTTCAGTTCATTTGGATTTTGAGACTTCATTTTCGCAGTTTACAGCATTTCAGGTCCCCCACACACACAGCTACCAACGAACAAGGCCCAGTGCAGTTCATTAACGTGTACACGATTTGAAAAATTCGCAAATGTGCGTCACTACACTGAAACAAATGCTTTTCAACCGGTGTCTGCAGAGTTAAGAATTACATTAATGTGCAGCATTTTGTTCAAATAGACATATTTGTGAATACATTTTTGTAATAGTTTGTATTAAAGTATCATAATTTGTGCATGTAGCGATTAAAATGTGCATTTGTGGATCAGGCGACACACGTGCATTCATTCACTTCTCTTCTGAATCGATTCTATTTGATTCATTTGAATTGAGACTTTCGTTCAGCCCTTTTACAGGATCCCCCCTATGAGGGTTGCCCCCCCTAAAAATATGATTAAATGTTTTATACTTTAATCAATTGTAAGTAGTAAAACAACACAAAAATTGAGTCTCCCCCTCCCTTGCCTCACTTTGGTCCAAATTTACATCACCTACACACACACACACAAGTCTGGTGAGAGAGAACAAAGTAAATAGTTGAGGAAGTCCAGTAAGTAAGGCTGTCAAGGTTAATTTCTTCACTTAAACATCGGATGAAGTGATAAGTTTCTCTTTAATACATATGATGCCAATGTATTTTTCGATAAATCCACTATGTTAGCAATAATAATGTTACCTGCTTGAGGGAAATGGTTGCCAGGTTTTCATAACAAAACCCGCCCAATTGCTACTCAAAACTAACCGCGTTTCGAGGGGTCCCCTGGTAAAAATAGCGTTCTGGGGGCTAAAATACACGTTACTGGGGTCACTTCAACCCGCGGACATGAAAAACAACCCGCAGCAACAATGATAAAGTATCCCAATTCCACAGGAAAACCACAGACTTCGCAACACTGTGACGGATACAACGGACACGAGCGCTGTCACAGCGCGACCACAACAGCTTGGAGTTGTTTAATTTAGCACGGTCTCTCTGCTGCACTAATAGTAGCAAGCCATTCCTCTGTGTATACAGTACATCATAGGCGCAGGAAGTGGGGGTACTGCAGCATATTTTGTATTTTCCCCATATTTTTTTTCTGTGGGCAACTGTTTAACTGTTGGGAATTAAAAAAAAATAGCTGGCAAAGGCTATTAAATTAATAGATAATTGCCACTATTGGCAATAAGTAATTAGCAGAATATCCTGTTATTTTAATATAGTATAAATAAAAACATATCACAAAACAAATACTGCTATTTTCACTTAGTGTAAATAGCATCTATCGCTAAGAAAATATGCTAATTGCTCATGTGAAGAGGATGATTTTTCATGTGAAGAAGACCATGATTTTTTTAAGTTAAGTACAAAGCCTGGTTTACATATAGGCCTAATAAATAATAGTTGGTTGCATTCAAATTCAAATAGCCAACATTGTGAATATGGAAATAGTTGGATTCGTGCCAAATAAGAGAGTAGGAAGAGGATTATAGGGCCAAACAGTTAAAAAAAAATCTCCAGAATAAAGTCATTAGACTATAATGTGAGATTAAACTCATTAGATATCCAGAAAAATTTAGAAATAAATATTGAGAATAAAAATAATTACATTTCGAGAATAAAGTCATTCATCAGCATCGTCAACTTCATCTTTGCAGCCAACACTGACTCAGAAAACAGTTTAATAATAAGTAGCCTAAATAAAATATGTTCTAGCTATAGTTCTAAGTGTGGAATAGGAATATAAAACACTCGTTTAATAGTTTAGTTTAAGATAATTTAATAATTTAATAAAATATAAATGTGCGATTACTAATGGCTTAAATGAGCGACTTTAATAGCCCTTTTAATAATAATATTAATAATAATAATAGCCTACAAGGAAGGAATAACTGACAACGTGCCGTTGAATTACAGGAAGAAAAAAAACAAAACAAGGTACCGTCACGAAGTTCTTGTTTGGCAAAACAAAACAAGTTCAACAAAACATC